ATTCTTGACAGTTGAAACACGACACTTGCTGGAAAAGAGAACACCCAGAGGCGGCCTTTTTTGTTTTGAACAGCACATGGGAGAGTCTGGTTACACCCCAACTTCAGGGTAAAAAGGGCTCAAAATAGCCATTTTCCTGCTGTTAAAACGAACGAATCTATGCAGACCAATACACATTTCTTTCCTCCGCTCAAATGAATTCTCTGTCATTTCAGGTCCACCTTACTGAGGTGGAACTTGAAATATATTGTACTGTCCTAATTTCCAATTCATGTACAGTACAGTTATTGGATTGCTACTAACAAAGTAGGTATGATGGATGATGCGGTTCTACCATCTGACCAGCAGTAAATAGAAAACCGCCAAAAATACTTTATATCAGAAAGTCTACATGATGCGAATCATTGTTTGGGAAACAATTGGCAGAAAATCCACGCAAGGCATTCATAACTTGAGCAAAACTTCCTGCCGTATTCTATTTTTCTGAATAAAGAAAAGGCTGATTTGCAAAGAAGTGGATGCTTTCGTAAGTAAAACGTGAAAATCATCCCACGGAATAAAGCTGAAGATGTCTCGGTAATTACGAAACTACCATCTATATTTAAAAAGGAGCTTGGTGGAGGCTTATGGTCAAGTACCCCACACGGTTGCCCTCTAACTTCAGGGCTAGGAAGTCTCTCCTAACTTTCTGTGCACTTGGAAAATAATTGTAATGCATGTGGCCCAGAATTCATTTCATTTACTCACAGTATTCTCCTTTCTTCAATCGATTGCCTTCCGCGCTGCTGGTCCATCAGGGTGTGGTCCAAATTTAAAACTACTGTTTTGACAACTAAAAGATGTTGAATGTGGATGAGGAAAATTCACAACCTTAAAACTCTCCCAAAACCTCAATATAGAGGTCATCGGACTCATTTACAGATGTTCGTTTGTGTGATCGGTCAATTACAATTCATGGGTGTGGATGGAAAAAATATTTTCAACTTCTTGCCAGGAATCCTCGAAGAGGATTTATACAGAGATCCGAGATCCGGAAAAAAAAAAGAAAATCACCTGGGAACGGATCAGTTTGATTGCGCTGGGACCCACCATAATGATTCACAGCATCTACAATTATATTCGAGTGAATACGGTAGAATTCAGACTTTAGGCTTGATCAGCCAGAGCTAGGAAGATGGTCGATTTGTAAGGACTAATTCACCTGGGTAACCAGAAGCATGGTCCAGCGTCGAACGGATAACCCACATAGCGTACAGTAAGAGTTGAGTGGCACTCGCTGTCACTTAACACAATAGCCTGCACACTGATAAGCACAGACTAGAAATAAACACAGACACTTGCAACGTTACAAGTCGGTTTATGGCAGGTCGCAATTCCTGTTCTCAAACACAGTTAGGTTATACACTTCCGGACCGATCGGGGGTTCGCAATAGAATGAGGCTGGGCTGGCCTCAGTGCTTAAATGGATAACATGGCTGCCTGAAATGCGCGCGCCGTTGCGTCAGCCTTGTCGTGATTGGTAGCAGTACAAAAAGATTCCCTCATCAAATACGCATTCGTCTTATTTGCGCAGGCTAGTATGGCCGTCCAGCCATTACTCTCCCCCTCCCCCCCAACTGCTTGGCAAGTTGGTGCTGTTGTTTGGTGGGTTGGCGTTGCTGCGTTGTCTCTGTTGGTGGCAAGGTTGCACGTTGTTGTTGTCATCTGTCTCTTGACATACCTTTGATGATGATTGCAGGAGTACTTTGTTACACCTGATGCCGTTGTTTTCATTGGTTGACTGGCCTGAGATGCTGTCGCTGCTGGTTTTGGTGTTGCCGGATGTGTCTGGCAATATTTGTCTGCGTGCGCAAGGCATGCATGCCATGTCAGGGATTGGTTGGCAGTTGCCTTTGAATGGAGGTGGGAGTGTAGGCCTCCAGTTGTAATGGACAGGAGTTGACCAATGAGTTCCTTGGTGATGGTTGTTTCCTGTTGGGGGAGCTTGTCTGCTGTGTACGCAAGATACCAAATGTACTCTTTGTGCATTCTGTGCCCGAATTGGGCATAGGTCTTGTTGCCGGACGGGAGGAGCTGCTGGAATTGTGTTTAATGTTTGTAGGGACATAGCCCAAACCAAACCTTCAGCCTGTCCACAATGTCGTCATACTCTGTATATCCTTGCTCGTAGAGCAGCATTGCTGCCTCGGCTACTTTGGGTTGTGAATGCCCTATCAGGCAATCAACCCTGGTGGAATTTGGTGTGTTATCCTGTTTGAAGGCGATCGCCAAACGACATAGGTACACCTTGATGTTTTCGTTTTCTGACTGTTTTGGATAATAGATGGGCCTGTAGCAGAGGAGCAACTGGGCAAGCTGTTCCGCGGCGCTGGGTCCCGTTGTGAAGTCTGGTGACGTGTTCATCACTACGTTCTGGGGCGTGACCCCTTTACTTTGAAGCGCAATCACAAGTTCATTGCGTGACGCATTGTTGGCGTTTGGTACTTGGTGCGCTGTTGCGTAAGTCTGCATGGCGTTCAACGTTATCTTGTTCCATGGGCTGACGTTTGCTCTTGCGTTAGACTGAGCTGCTGGTTGTGGCCCTGGTTGAGGGTCCGAGTCGGCGTGGTCACTGGAATTCATCTCTGTCGGCTGAGCCCCCGTAAGAGTTGAGTGGCACTCACTGTCACTTTACACAATAGCCGGCACACTGATAAGCACAAACTAGAAATAAACACAAAACTTGCAACGTAACTAGTTGGTTCATGGCAGGTCGCAATTCCTGTTCTCAAACACAGTTAGGTTATACACTTCTGCACCGATCGGGGGTTTGCAATAGAATGAGGCTGGGCTGGCCTCAGTGCTTAAACGGATGACATGGCTGCCGGAAACGCACGCGCTGTTGCGTCAGCCTTGTCATGATTGGTAGCGGTACAAAAAGATTCCCTCATTAAATACGCGTTTGTCTTATTTGCACGGGCTAGTATGGCCGTCTGGCCGTTACTATACAGTCAAACACCAATTTAGTACCAACCTCTATCCGACAAGATTTTGTGGCACTTCAGTAGCAACTCACACCTCACATCAAGAACTCGCGACTTATAACGTCACTTTTTTCTCAAGTTCATTCTCACTGGAAAAAATAACCTGCAAATGAATTTTAAAATCATCCAAATCAAAAGAATGAAAAACTGGAATTAAAATACTGTATCGCAAATGATTCACGCTTCAAAAAGTTTCCTTGCATTTTTCAGAAACAACAATGCTTACGATATTCTTGCTTACGAACAAAATTCTTCCAAATGAAGAAGTCCACCAAAACGATGTGCTGAAGAAAAAGGTACACACAATTCCTCTTCAATCAAGTAATGTACTTCAATAAACGAAAGATCGAGGTAAGAACCGTTTTTTTTTTTATAGAAAACACTCTTCAAATTAATTAAAAACATAGTTGGTAGAAACAGGACTTGTCTTATCCATCTCATTACAAAGGTAAAGACCCTGTGGTAAAACAAAATTTTCTCGATCGACATCGCCAGAAAATAAAATCAAACGAATCCCTTCTCGAGATTTTAGTTCAGAAAAAAAATTTTTGAAATCCTTAGTCTTTTAAAAATTTTTGGAGATTATATTTACCTATAGTAACCGCTGAATGGGTTCAATTGAACCATAGCACAACATGACGCGAAATGTTTTCCATTCAGGCCGGAGAAAAAAAAACCCGGGAAATGGTCAGGAGCAGGTCATATTCAAGAAAAGAAATAGTCAGAACAGAAATGTTACAGTTTATCAACGTCTTGTATTCAAAATGACTGAAATCGTCTCAAATACGGTTAGTTCGCCCTGCACCAACTTGTCAGGCACGTGCTTGAACCATTCGGAGTGAAACCTTGTGATGAACGTAGATGAGAACAGCGAGCCCTTTTGCTGTTTGGCGTTGTAAGTGAGATAAACGTGACGTGGATCCATCCCAGCTTCGCATAGGATAGTAGCTTGATTCAAAACCGACGCTGGCCCAAGGCATTCCTTCATAGTTTCTAGAAACCCTTCGCCGCTTCCCAGCACACTTTTCGACAACAACACGACATTTTTGAGTCGCTTGAACGCCTTCACGGCTCGGAGAATTTTCTTAATTTCCTGTCAATGATTTACAGCGCAGAAAGTAAGAGAGGTGATGAATCCTATATTATACCAGGTGCTATATGCGCAGGATTATTTAGAACAATATTTGGTAAACCACTCATCGATATCATTCTTCGAAGTAATTTTCCAGACTTCGGCATCAGGCAAAAAGTTAAATGTAAGGAAATTTATCTTGAATTCATAATTATTTGATTGATCGAGCAGAAATTTCCATCTCACACATATACAGCAATTTCGAAATCTTGTTTCTTTCACAACTTCATAGCTCATCTCACCTTTGGGTTACGCACTTGAATCCAGAGATCCTCCAGAGAATCCTTACAGTGGCTGAGATGACGCAACGCAGACCATGCTCTGTCGAGTGTGGTTCCCGGAAATGCAATAAACTCCAATGGCTGTGACAATTGACCAAGAGATTCTAGGGACAGCTTTGTGTTGGAAAAAGAGCGCTACACATTCCAAATTCATCATTTTTGAATATGGAATGTATGTTTCCCACAGGTCAGCTGACACGAATTTCAGATTTGCAAGCCACTCCTTTGAGCTATCACTGAAGATATGTAATGCTTTTAGAACTTGCTGCGTGGGTTGGACAGATGCTTGTTCGTCGACATTCCTGATCCAAAGCTGTTCCAATGATGGCATCAATGGTAAATGAAAAACTGCATGAATTGGTGATGCATCTTCCAGCCACAGCGATTTCAACTATACAGCATACAGTATACACAACCAAAAAATATCAAGATAAATTATCAAACACAGAAGGTCGGCCCAGTCAAAATATGACCGCTTTCAGTACAGCAAAATAGTTCCCACATTAAGAATTGAGAAAAAAATTTACTCCGTCTAAAATGGATTCGTTTTCAATCCCTGTCCGATTTGGTGATTTACTTCTTCAACCTCTGTGGTATGCGTACAATGGTCATGAAGAATAAGAACCCCAACTAAAAAGCCTCCCTATCAGCATCTAGAACCGATAAATATCCGAAGAAGCTTATAAACAACATGACCAATCATGCTTAATTTAGTGAAGAGAAATATCAAGTTCGTGGGTTTAATAATACAGCTTAATTTATTGATTTCTAAAATAAGCCTGAAAAATTTATAGGATGAAGAGGAGAACGATTTCGCATCATCGGGACAAAAGAAAACGATGAAGAGAATAATTATTGCGAAGAGACAATCACTGTCACAGGGATTACAGTGGGGTCGAATGTTTTCCAAATTCTGAAGTTGCTTTACCCGCAAATATCGGCATCTATTCAAAAGATCATTTTTAAAATCCACAACTGCAAAAAGAATGAAAATTATCAACAGTCAAGAGTCCAATGACGCTTTGCATGCTTCATGCACAACATTGATTTGAAACTTAGGCACATGATAAGAAGGGCTTAGCTTGTGTAAAACACAATTTTTCAAGACGAAGACTGTGGCAGGACATTTTCGTATATTTGTCCAAGTATACAATGGAACATTACTGTGCACCTTCGGGAAAAATATGATTTTCTCATCGTCAACCGGCGGCATTTTGTTGAAGATCGTTCCACTCATGCTAAGGGATTCAAGGTTTCCAAAAATTCCCATTCTCCAAGCAAGTTGCCAACCCATCGCATCCAACTTCACGGGCAATTGATAGGTATGAAGACTTGAAAGAACACCAGAACCCAGAAAGTCAGGGAACTTCAGCAAAAAAGGATCCCGCAGCAGGGAAACATTGGATAATACATTTGCCACGTCATGTAGAATAGCAGGATTAAGATACAGTTTCTCCATCCTGTAAGCAATGCGTTCACCAGATTCAGCAGACACAGCACATAAAAAAAATCAACTATCTTAATATATTATACTGACCTCGGAAAAGCCTGTCCCATATTTGCTGAATACATTTTCTCCAAGGAACACCGTAAACTCACTACCCGACATTTGGGAAACAAGATGTCTCCAGATTCGGAAGATTTTAATAGAGAGTCCCCAAGAGTAACGCATTCCACTGACAGCATCTCCAAGTTCGTGAGCGTCTTGCCACTTCTCGTGAGAAATTCAAGCCATGCATCTTCGTTCGTATCCAAATTCAGGACTTTGAGAACCTTCAATTTACTCCAATCGTGATGATTGAATATTGGTTTTAAAATGTTCCGTGGCCAAAAAGGTTCCAGTCCAGTTTGAAATCTGAACTTCAATGAAAGCCTCCGAACATACCTATGTTAAAGGGACTCATGAGCAAAAACATATTTCATTAATTAATTCAACTTACCTATGCAAAACGCGATAACATATCGCGATAACATATGTTGAGCGATAACATATCAAATTAAGGAATTCAACTTTACCTATACACAACATTGCAGAAATCCTTCAAGTGTCCCCACGGCGGACATTCCATTCCATTCTCAAGATAAAACTCGATACGCGTCCAACTGCTTCCATCCTTCATCAAGTCAAAGAATAGCCGACACACAGGGACAACGTCTTGCATCATTGCAAATGGTGTCAGATATTTCATGACATTCTTGAGAATCAGCCAAGGACATGATAACAGGAGTGAAGTCTGTGGCTCTCTGACGTGACTGATGCCATCACTGAGGAGGAACATGATCCTGAAAGAAGCTACGAAAACACATTGGACACCATCAATTAATTTCAACTTTGGTTATCATTTTAATGCAGGAGAATATGAATGATTGCTCACACAAATACGAAAAACTCCATTTTAACATAACTCGACTATATGGAAGCAGGACACGTCCAAAAAAACACCGAAGTGAAGGTTATTGCTCCGCAGTGTGACATTTAAAATTTGAATTCACATGTTTAGCTTTTTTAAACGCTCAACTTCGCATAGAAAAATCTAAAGCTTCGAAAATTTTCCTACTTCACATATTTAGAGTTAAGTATACTTAACATAATATTATGTACTGTACTTACATATACAGAACTGCACAAATATACTCAACATATTTTTACACTACGGAGTTTATACCCGCAACAAAATCGCCATCTGACTGGTTCATAAATTGAGTCAATCGTACAGAACACTACAGTTTTTTTAGAGTCTAATTTAGCTGGCTGGATCAAGATGCGAGTTACTTGCACACGGTACAATCATATAGAACTCTTTTCATGTGACCAACGTGTATAGATACAGGCATTAGTTTAAGCACTTCAGGGATCGATGCGGGCAAAACGTTGCGCAAGTTTGATCGAATTTAAATTCTCTGCTTCACATTATTTCATTGAAAACTAACGAAGGTTCCCTGGTGGCAGTTTTCGAGATTCTGGAACCATCTTCCAAACAATAATGTACTGTATTCTGATCTCGGCGACTCCCTGGCATTGATGAAGGATGTCAGGCTTCCCCTGAACTATATAGGTTGTAGAACAAGATATTCATCAAATGAACTGGCATTTTTGAAAATCTTATTACAAGATCGCTCCAAGTTTCGGTTTCGATTCAGCAGCGGACCAAAAAAGAAGCTTCAATAAATCGCGAAGAATTTCATTCCAAGGTACGACAGAGATAACTGCTGCACGGTATACTCACGAATTTTTGAGAAAAGCCCCTCAATGATGTCTCCGTGTCTCAAAATACGCGTTATCGGAGACCATAATCTAATTTCACGAGAAACGCACGCATGACGGAAATGAAAGCTTCGGAGCGAAACTTCGACTGAACTTCTTGAAACTCCGATTCTTTTGCCTTTTCCCCTTACATCAAAAGCCCCATCTGAAAATAAAAAAATAGCCGAAAATATGAGTGAGAAGGGAATCTTGAAACAGATGTTCTCTTCACGGATTACCTCAAATCATCGTGTAGTTCGACGACTCGCATCAACAAGACATTTTGCAGTACTGTACAGTGTAAAACAGCAACAAACAACACTGTAGAAGGACACTCCAAAAAATATATAACTCTGGGCGAAATAGGAGAGGGAGGCGACCTGATTTGCTTTTGATAGTACGGTGCAGTACTGCATATTCGCGAGTTCGGTTATACCCTCAACTTATTCACGGCTTAAACGTCCCTACAATAGACTGAAATTCTCCGCAGAAATTCAAAAAATAAATGTACGCACACCTTATAAAGTCTTCGTTTTTTTTCAATTCAATTGATTGACCCCTATTTCCGCTGCCACGCAGCAGGTGTTCAGGGCGAAGAAAAAAAAATTGCTGAATGCGAATAAGGCAAATTTGTCAAATCTTGCTAAACCTCTCGAAGTCTCGAGATAACCGAAATCAAGGATTCGCAGTTTAATCAAGCAAGGGACGTCCTTGTCAACTGTTCGGAAATAATGTTCAAATTCGAATCGGTTTGAAGTTCGCAAAATTACCGATGTGTGCGAATCAAGTAAGATTTACGCGTGTGCTTCCGACAATTATTTCTGAAACATTTTTGCAATGGAACTCCGAGGGAATCGGTGGTGTTGTAACAGATGACTTTGGTTGTGCCGAGACCCGCAGTAATAATTCAATGCATCTTCAGTTCTTTTTCGAGAAAACACAGTAGGATTGAGAATTTGAGATCTTATGCTTAAGGATGATTCAGAGCAATAACCACGCCTCCCGTTAAACGGGTACGGCATAGACTCTTGTGTCTAGTCACAAATTATTGCCAATTGGGTTCCATAGAAATTTTGTGGAATATTTCTTGGTAAGGAAGGCATTAACATCGGGGGTTTACTTCACGACAGGCGTCATATCCTGTGAAATCTGGTGATGGATGAAAATGAGGTAATTCCGACATTAGTTTCTATGAGTCAGATGAAAAGGAACAGGGCCAAATTCGATGTCCACTTGCTTAAAAACACCATTTGGGATGACGCATTCTTGCTTGATCTCCAGAAAATTAACATCCATTAATGGCTCTCTCAGTAAGAACCAACACAACATTTCCAGTCATTTGAACGCCATCAGGGTTTGAACTTTTTTTTTCTACTCCGTCAGATTGCTTCATAGAGAAGAAAAAAGTGAATCCGATATCGGAAGAGACTCTTTTGGAAACTCGCACTCCACATTTCACGAAATCGCGACTCGAAATGTCACATTTCACTCATTCTCAAACCCATTGTCGATAAAAGGAATAAAACCTGAAAATGAAAATATGAGTCATAACACCGTAAAACTGACTTGAAAATTATTGCGAGAACCTGTACTTCAGGCATCAAACAACTACAGTATTCGTGCATTTTTTCAAACAAATTTATTACAATCCCCACTCAAATAAAAAAGGCCACACAAACATGGTAAACAAATTAATCACAATTTTTCTACATTCTTTACAGCATTTCAACGACAGAGGATCAAGTGAAGAGCCGCAATTCTTCAAATATACGGCGCACTTCTTACTTTTTCAAAACGTGGTGGGAAGATACAGAATAATGCGTCTTAAACACATTTCATTACTCAAGTTCATTACTCATTTCATTACTCGAGGCTGGCATCGCCGAAAATCATTCAAACAAGTCTATCCCTTCATCATGATTTCAGTTCGAAGAAAAAGAATTAAGACCCCTGAATTCTTTAGGATGTTTAGAAGTTTAGATTATTCACAGATAGCAACTGCTTAATCGATAGATTTACCGTATATCATGAGCAAGTCAGTTTTTCTTCACTTCGATTCAGAAAAAATAATAAGTCTGATACAGTACTCAAGAGCAAGAAGGCAGAACGAAACTGTGATGATGGCTCATCAAGGCCGTGAATTAAAGATGGCCAAAAGCGCCTGTGTTTGAACTTTCCCAAACAAAGATTTTACTATAATCCTCACTCAAATGAAAACAGGCCATACAAACATTGTAAGAAAATGATTTACAACTTTTCTCTATTCTTCAAAATATTTCAACAAAAGGGGGCGATCAAGGGAAGAGCCGCAATTCCTCGAATACTGCATACGGCGCACTTACCACGATTTTAAAACGTGGTTGGAACAAACAGGATGCGTCTTCTACGCATTTCATTACGCACTTGATAGACATCTCGGCAGAAAATTAATCAAATAAATCAATCGTTTATTCATGATTTCGGTTTGAGGACACAAGAGCTAAGAAACTCTGAATTCTTTAGGAAGTTTAGATTATTCACAGATACCAACTGCTACATTTTTATATTTGACAGATTTCCTGTGCATCAGGAAACAAAATCTAGGAACAATATGCCACGACGAGGCCGCATCGTTGGTCTATCAAGCCTCGGCTTGAAAATCGCCGAAATCGCCTCGAATACCGAAAGCTTACCCTGCACCAACTGGTTAGGCACAAGTCGAAGCCATTCGGAGTAAAATCTCGTGACGAATCTGGATGAGAATTCCGAGCTCGTTTGCTGTTTGACGTCGCAAGCGATGTACTTGTGACGTAGATCTGGTCCGAACTCACAAACGAAAGTCGCTTGATACAAAGAAGACACTGGTCCGAGGCAGCCTAGCATAGTTTCGGGAAGCCCTTCGCCGCTTCCCACGTCACTTTTCGAAAACAAAACTATATTCTTCAGTTGCTTGAACGCCTTCACAGCCCGGAGAATTTTCTTCACTTCCTGAGTAAAAAGTGGGGGAAGTGAGAGAGGAAGGGTTGAATAGACATAATTTTCAGTTATGTACAGCCGTAGTTCAAACAATCAATGATCGGCAAGTCACCAATGTAATTCCGACAACCAATTCCCCAGTGATTCCAAGGTAAATTTAGTCAAAAACGTCAATTAAAAGATACCGCCTCCTAATAATGGATTAATCCTCCAGTAAAGGCTAATCGTTTCATTCTCATTGTATATTATTGAATGAATTGAAAACATCATCAAACCTCTTTTAGTCAAATTTTAAAGGAACAACAAAAAAATGCGAGTCACGGAAACGAGCATTTTAGCAAGTATAAATACGAAAAAATGAAAGGAAATAGTAATTGATGATATTCAGGTAACTTCAACATTGTTTAGCCTCCGTGCTGCACAGTACTTCCACTGCGTAGAACACCTTCCTATGCAGAAGTGCCAACGATTCGAAAGGTTAAGACGAATAAGCAGTCCATATAGAAAACAACAAAAATGTTACCAATAACCCCAACAAAGTATGCTGTACATGCCTGTGTTCGCGTGAAAAGGAACAAAAATATCTTTGGCATCACAGGTACGGATTCTGAGATCGTTCTTAAATGAGTTTGACCACGGTCTCTGGGGATCAAGGAAATTATACCTGTGTTTCCATTTTCAATCGGAAGCTTATACAGTATTCCGCACATATACTTTCAGAATCCAGGTTTTGCATATTATATGCTCTTACCTTGAAGTCACACACTTCAATCCAAAGATCCTCCAGAGAATCTTTACAGTGGCTGAGTTGACGAAGCACAGACCAGGCCTTGTTGAGTTTCGTTCCAGGAAACGCAATGAATTCCAACGGCTGTGACAATTGACCAAGAGTTTCCAAGGGGAGATTATCTGGAACCTTCAGGATCAACCCTCTAAGTTGGGAGCAGGACCGAAGTTCTTTGAAGATGCCTCCAGGACTTTTCTCAACGGTTTTGTGCTGGAAGAAAAGAGCTACGCATTCCAAGTTGATCATGTTCGAATACGGAATGTATGTCTCCCAAACGTCAGCAGAGACACATTTCAGATGTTCCAGCCACTCGATTGGACTTGTATTGAAGACTTCCAGTGCTTGTAGAACTTCTTGTGTAGGTTTTATAGAAGTTTCTTCTCTAACTGCATTCCTGATCCAGAGGTATTCCAATGATGGCATCAACGGAAAATGACGACATGCAGCGATTGGTGAGGCATCTTCCAGCCACAGTGATTTCAGCTACAGTAAAGCAAAATTTTCAGCATGAAGAATCATCCACAGAACTTTGACCCAGACAAAATTTGTACACTTTTATAACAGCGGTATATAAACCTTTCAAAGCAAGAATTAATGAACATCCCTCAGCTCAAAGAGGATTTGAACGCAATTCCTGTCCCATTTCGTGTTTTACACTCACAACTTCTGTGCATGGTATGCGTACGGTCATTAAAAACGCCATCTCAAAAAGAAGCTTCAATAGAATCATTCAATACTTGAATATCTCAAAAATTTCTAGAACACCAACATCAAATCAGTCTAATGATGAAAGACAACTTCACTCGTACACAGGCTTCAGAAAAGAGTTTTTTTTTTCTTTCTTGAATCATCGGGGCAATGTAGCATGCTTGAGAATAGCCATTTTAAACACGTAGAAATTTTAGGAAAAAGTGGAATACATTCGGTCTCAACATTCGCCGAAACATTGAGTTACTTCCTCTGCAGAAATGAGAGGCCAAAGAAGGGACATTTATGGAGAAGATCGATTTCATACTTCTTTCCACAATTGATTCGAATACCGTAAATAATCTGATCCTGCAATACGCGCCTGATGGTATCTGATGAGGACCAGGGCTCAATTGAATAGGCGCCGGCTTCTTATAGTGGCCCGGAGTAGGGGGTCTCAAACAGGGTCAAATAAGTAGGGAAGACCTACTGGCATTTTTATTCCATAATTCTTTGAAGGGCTAGTTCAGGGTGAAAATACTCATCTTCCAAGTATCGTCACGTACAAAAGGTGCTCTTATCTTAATTTAGAAAGAAAGAAACAAACCTGCAGCACTTTCTTACATTTCACCATTTTCATTTTTTTCATAATATATATGTATGCTGCTACCTCAATTCCACAAGCAGCAGTTGCATTATTTTCTGTTTCTCATCTATTACATAATCGATTACCATTAAAAATGCAACCTTAAAATGTTCACTTGATGTTGCCTTCAAGATTAGTGTTCAAGAAAATTCAAAAGAATCACTGTACCTGTTGCACTTACAAAATCTGTCCGCTCAGAACAAATTTCACAATACTGTAATGGCTAATATCTATAGTAAGTGCCTGACTCCAATGAACGCCGGGCGGACAGGGAACATTTTTTGAATAAACGCCTCGGGCTACAATCATATAACATTTAAGGTACCGTAAAAAGGAAAAAAATTCTGAATACGGCGAAAAGTTTCGCTCATAATCCACGATACAACGACTGCAGAACGGCAGAGATTATCGATTAGAGTTGAAAGGAAATTGTTTGACAGGCAGGAATTGGCAGGACATTGTTGCATTTGTCCGAGTAAAATCACGCGTTCATATATTCACCTTCGGGAAAAAAATGATTTTCTTCTTAGCCGGCGGCATGTTGTTGAAGATCTCTCCACTCATGCTCAGGGATTCGAGGTTTGCAAATATTCCCATTTTCCGAGCAAGTTTCCAATTTCCCGCACTCAAGTTAACGGGCAACTGATAGGTATGAAGACTTGAAAGCACACCAGAACCCAGAAAATCAGGAAACTGCCGCAAGTGCGGATCCCACAGCACAACCAAATTGGACCTTAAACGTTCGCCGTCATGTAGAATAGCATGATTGAGATGCAGTTTCTTCAACCTGTAACCCATGCATTCACTATAGACACAGCACATGTACAATCAATGATGCTAATACTACTTGCCTTGGAAAAGCCTGTCCCATATTAGCAGGAAACATTTTCTCCAAGGAACACCGCAAACGCACTTCCCGACATTTGGGAAACAAGACGTGCCCAGTTTTGGAAGCTTCCAATAAGAGATCCGCAAGAGTAATGCATCCCACGGAGAGCATTTCCAGTTGAATGAGCGTCTTGCCACTCCTCCTGAGAAATTCAGACCATGCCTCTTCGTTGGTCTCCAAAGTGCCCACTTCAAGCACCTCTAATTTACTCCAATCATGATGTTGGAAAATTGGTCGTAAAATGTTCCGTGGCCAGAGCGGTTCCAGTTCAGAGTGAAAACTGAACCTCAGTGAAAGCTTCCGAACATGCCTAATATTATGGGGCTAATGTAGAAAACATAGGGAATCAATGAATGCGACTTACTTATATACAACGTTGCAGAAGTCATGGAAGTGCCCAAATGGCGGACATTGCATTCCATCCCGAAGACAAATCTCCACACGTGTCCAACTGCTTCCATCCCTCATCAAGTGAAAAAGCTGCCGACATACTGGAACAACGTCTCGCATCATTTCAAATGGTGGCAGAAATTTTGCGATATTCTTGAGAACTAGCCAAGGACATGACAGAAGGAGCGAAGTCTGCGTTTCTCTGACGTGACTGCTGTCACTGAGGAGGAACATGATCCTGAAAGAAGCTGCAAAAAACAATTTATGTACTGATTCCTTCCTATTCAATTGCGGTGTTCTAGTACAGCAAAGCAGCCCATGTGACGGACTCAAAATAAATACTGTACATATATTCATAGAACACATGGATTAAGTTTATTTTTCTCAACTATGAAGAATGTCCCGTTGAACCCAACATCCTGATTCTCCCTACGAAAAAATTTACGCGACCAGAAAAAAATGGTTGTGAAGATAATTTTTGTGTGGAGAACTCCATTGGGCAAAAATTCTGTCATACAGAGAAAATAATTGCAGACAAGATTGTTGTAGATAGGCGTCCACCTGTATAGAAGTTTGATGCGAGGATTCCTTGACAATTCGCACCGCCCTACTAAACTGGTTGTTTTAAATTTAGGTTTGAATTCACAAAATGGGGCATGCAAACAAAACAAAAAATACCAAAATGAATTTGTCCATGAAAATATATCTGGTTTTTCGGCATGGAGGAACATGCTTCTGTTCATCCTCAATTTTGTTAAATGCTTGTGTTTTCAATCTGGTCAAGAATAATTCTGATGCATGCATTAATAATTAATCCATGTTCTGCTCAGGATTCAAGGGTTCAAGGCCCAGTCCTGAAGGCTCACAGAATCTTCGAATTTCCCACCCAGATAATCGAGAAAATATTATTTGCCAATTAGATTTGGTAGAACACAAACAATGAGGCATCTCCACTCAATGCAAGACAATCTGTTGCTTATGCATGAGCATCAAAACGTTGATTGGACAATGTAACAGAAGAATGAGTCAGACTAAAAAGCATTTAATTGATGAAAATCTGTTTAATTTTTTGTCCATATGCTGAACATCTTACAAACATTCTTTCATTACCACTTGGCTCATAAATTTGGCTTATGAATTTTCCACTTTCATTTCACAATCAATCATTTTTAAAGAACCCCTCCACAATTTCCTTCTCTTCTCTGCAAACTTAACCTCAGTCAAACTTGAAGGCGGCCCTAAATCCAAGAGAATACCTATATGCTTTTTAAAATGTCCCATACCCCAGATTTTCTGGAGATGCTTCACTGATTACATAATTTTACAATAATGGGTTGATTCATAACTTGAGTCAATCGTACAGCTAGTACACTGAATAATCTCGAGTTTTACTTTTATTGGATAAGTCAACATGAACGTTGCTCACAAAAAATATGCATGGACTCCTCTATACTTCTCTCGGTTTGATCTGGGAGAAGACAGATGCAGTATTCGCGGAATGTTCTGTTACTGTGGGGAATAAGCTCTTCATGTTTTACAACTTTACAGACAGTTTTTAAGCCATCAACCCATTATATGCAATTCAATTATACCTTTGGCGCATACCAAATAATTCTTGAATTTAAGATTCAAGAATTACAGTATAAGTTAAATGTTCCGACAATCTTGTTAACTTCTCTGGTATTGCTGATGCGGAATGTTAGGGCTGTCCCGAATTGGAAATTCACGGTGATCGTTTCACTGGGTAAATAAACCAGCACTTTGAAAACCATAGGTGAATTTAACCCAAATTTGCACTCTGACTTTCGGAATTACAGTAATCGAACGTAGCTTTTAAGATGTTTCTGGCGAGATACAATGAAAAACATATACTGTACAACTCACGAATTTTGGAGAAAAATCCTCTGATGATGTCGCCATGTCTCAGAACACGCATGCCTTTCTCATCAAGTGGTAAAACGTCATCATTGACGAGTAGGAACAAACCAAAGCGTTGCTTCAGCTTTCCAACCACGCTTAGTATGAAGTCTCCGCATGGACACTGGAAGATGGAGAAAATAATCTCCAAGCTCGACTGCTTCGGGCAAACTTTGCCAAGTTTCACCCCATTTTCCTCTTTATGAACATCTGAGAAAAACCGTTGATACGGAGACAGAAAATAAAAAGGTGATGTTTAAGAGTGTCATACACAACTTACGTAGTCGAACCTGCGTCCCCTCAGCAGGAACACACTTGTTTCCGAACCTTTCGAAATAACACGACACTGCCTTTTGACTCGGATTTGTACCGCATCTTGGGCTTCGGTATGTTGCAGCATGTCGTTCCAATTCCATGTACGAAAGGTCTCGGAGACCGTAATTCAGTTTTAGGAGAAACGCACGCATTGCAGAAAAAGAGAACGAGCTCTGAACGAGTACTGTCGAAAGTTTCGTCAAACACCGTCACTGTCTCGATTCCTGCGATCAAAAGCGGAACATAAAAAGTAATAAAATAAACCTAGCCGACAAGAATCAGCTCAAGAAAATGGATGAGAAGGAACTTCCAACAAATGGCCCTTTCACCTTTTACTCAACGATTCGGAACCCTTTGTTGCATGAATCAAGATCGAAAACTTTTGAACTCTTCTCCACTTCTCGTAAGCCAAATTTAAATAAGTGAGAAACGACGATTCAAAGAAAACGCCATCACTTCAACGGGCAATCATTTTTGCGTGCTTCACGAATTCCCAGGGTGTACGGACTATGATTGCAGTATTTCATAGAAATTAAAATAGATAGAGAAACGCGCGCATCGCCGCAAAGTCAAATTCTTCCGACTGTTCCCGGCAAAGGAGTGTTCAAATACACAACAGCAGTTTCCATTCCTGGTCCCTGTCGGTTCCCGGAGGCGGGACTTCGCTTCAGTCGCCAAACCGCGCCTTTCATTCCTCTGCCCCAGTACCAGCAGGGCTGCAAGATTGTGTCCTTGGGTACGGAGTTTCAGTGCTTCTTGAATGGCAGAACAATTGGATAGGGAATTTCCGAGGGGGCGTGATCTTCGTTTTCCACCAAACCCATCGGGGCGAAGTCCGGATCATGTATGGAAACTGATGGCAACATTAGCTCGGAGATTTCCAGAAAAGTCCATTGAAAAAATTCGAATCAAAGCTAGATAAATCTTTCAAAATTGTCAAGAGATAAAAGTTCATTTAAACATTCGGAAGTCCCTTACCGCATGAGATTCATATTAAAATTGAATGAGGTGGTTTCAACTTCAACAATATTTGGAAGTTAGAGAGTACTGTGAAATACGCAACACTCAAAAACAATAGAAGCCGTTTCATTGTCCGATCCGTTCAGTTACTGTACTTCCATTCCGTGGATGACTTTCGTAAAGAGTGCAAGGCATTTGAGCTTTTTGAAAGCATATATGAGCAGTCTTCCATTACACACGTGAAATACACCAAACTTAGTGCAGTTTTTGCCTTCTCAAATGCAAAAATTCAAAGTAAAAAGCGCATACTACAGAATTTATATTCCTCGGAATCATCGCCATTCATCCACAGGCGACTCGTCAAACGACTTTTCAGAAACCCCTCCTGAATTGGCAAACCTCTTCAAATGAAAAAAATCCGCAGTTAAGGACGAAATCGGCGAAAACACCACATCCTTGGGCAGTTTTATGGCACGCGCATGTCAACAGGATTCAGTTACCGACTGTAAAATACTGAGAAAAAATTCCTGACAGTTGACACTCGCTGGAAAAGAGAACACAGAGGCGGTCTTTTTGCTTTGAACTGCACACCGAAGAGTCCGGTTACACCCCAACTTCAGGGCAATAAAGGCTCTGTATTGCCATTTTCCTGCAGTTACAAAACGATTCCATGTCGAACAATACTCCTCATTTCTTTCCTCTGCTTAAGTTGATTCCCTCGCATTCTGGGTCCCAACTGCTGAGGCGGAATTCGAGAATATAGTAACTTCCAATTCATGCATTGGATCGCTACGAACATCAAGTAAATATGGATGGTGCGGTTCTAGCATGTGACGAGCTTTAAACTAACTCATAAAATCTTTGCATAGAAAATCGTTGTACGGCTCCACAAGGACCTGTTATACAGACCGGCTACTTCGTTTGGTCCTTCACTGGCATTTCAAAACTTATGGCACCCCACGAAAAACGCCACCAAATGACCATTGGATGGATGAAAGGGAGACGTTCGTCAACTTCCGTTCAGCCAGTAAATTTTTAATCAATATGCTGAACTGTTCAATAATATTGTAGATTTCGAAGAAAGATTTCTAACTTTTTGCCGCGGAACCCTTTACTACTTGTCGCCGGATCGCTTTTCTTAAGGGGCCTGTATTTGTGCGGAGCCTTCTAAGTATCGTGCGGAACTTGAATGTCAAAGAGGTTTACGAAATTACCGATGAAAAGGTATCCAGTAATCAAGAAGAAATGCCAATTCCATTTATTTTTGCTCCCTATATAGCTGAGTAGAACGAATAAAAAATAATAATTCTGCATGACTAAGCCTGTGCACGAACTGCTTTTTTATGCGTCAATCCTCCTCCTCCCATCACATTTGGCATGCAGAACGTCAGCATTGGGCACTGCAGAATTTCATTGCCCCTCTTCCAAAAGGTGACCGTAACTCTGAAGTGCCATATACTGTATGTATGCCATGTCAACCTCATTACACTAATTCTTATTCAGCAGACATCACGCGATTTTTTTCCTTGCAACATTTCCTTCAATCTCCACACCGGGAAAATGGTACTGTAAGAAGCATTTACGCACGATTACGGATACAGTATTCGATGTCAACAATACTGTATTTGTGGCTCCATGATGAAATCCCGTAGGAGAAAAAATCCCGCGGCCCGAAAATCCCGTCAGGCCGAAAATCCCGTAGGCTGAAAAATCTCGCGGGGTCCGAAAATCCCGTAGGGACGAAAATCCCGTATACTGTACTTCAAAAATTCAGATATTTTCTCAGAGTTTTCCTTCCAACTGCCTGGGAAGAATGCAAATACTGTATGGCGGATTATGAAATGATGAAAGTGCGAGGGGTTTCCTTCCAAGGTTTAGGAATTACCTCTCCCAATATAGAACCTCAACTTCACTTCTATTGTATATTGAAACAACTTCACTTGTACTGTATATTGAAATTTAAATTTGACAAAAAGTGCGAGGGGTTTCCTTCCAAGGTTTAGGAATTACCTCTCTCAATATAGAACCTCAACTTCACTTCTATTGTATATTGAAACAACTTCACTTGTACTGTATATTGAAATTTAAATTTGACAAAACGAAATATCATTATATAACTGTACTTAGACTTATTTGATGATTTTAAATTATTTACAGGCGATCACCATATGCAGATATCAAAGGAGGTTTTCTGATGTAAGAATTCATGTTTCAAAGACAAAGTAAAGATTAAATTAATTGGAAAAGTGAACAGTTTACAAAGTCTTGATCCAAATGAAGGTTACATTTTTCTCACGCTTCCTTGGGAGAAATGTGAGGAAGTGAAGTTGAGGTTCTATAGAGAGGTAATTCCTAAATCCTGGAAATCCTTGGAAGGTACTTTCACCATTTCATAATCCACCATACAGTATTTGCATTCCTCCCAGGCAGTTGGAAGGAGAACTTGGAGAAAATATCGCAATTTTTGTAGTCTACGGGATTCTCGTACCTACGAGATTTTCGGACCCCGCGAGATTTTTGGGCCTACGGGATTTTCGGCCTGACGGGATTTTCGGGCCACGGGATTTTTTCTCCCACGGGATTTTCTCCTGCACCCGTATTTGTATAGCAAACAAGAAAAAAAGACTATACCTGCGATTAAAAGAAAAAAACGTAGATTCCATGGAAGTACGAGAAAGAAATCAAAGTTTGGAATGGTGAGCAAAGCAAAGGCCCCACCTGTGAAAAAAAAGGAAGAGAAAATTTTCATCTCTCCAACAATAAGTTAGATATTCCATCAATTCTGTTGTAACTCGGCATTCCCACGAAAGTTATGCAGACAGGACGGATTAACTGTCCGCATAAGGGATAACTCGAGGCTTCATCCTTTGTTCCTACAGTTTTAATCCTTTCCAAGGCAGTCATTCCTTTTCGCCAATTCTGAGAACTGAAGTCGTAAACTGTCGACCTTGCTATTTGAGAAGCGTTTCAAGGATCACATAAACAGAAACTAGGGAAAATTGCGTGTGAAAGGATTAATACTTACTTCTCAATCCTTCCGGGAGCCACCCTCATCCATTCTCAAAGTGGGCGTCCATATTTCGGACGGATCCAACTTTCCGACGTTTCATAACTGACGATTTCCAGCGTTTTCAAGGAAATTTTAAAGAGAATAATCAAGAAAATTTTCAACACTGCATCAATTGTACATCTTGCACAGCAACGAACTTACGAAGAATAGACGCAATATCATGCGTGGTAGAATTCCGTGCAGGTCATCATCACTTCGCATATCCCGTTAAATAGATTGTGTGGAATAAATTTGGTTTTGTGAACGCAAATACCCTTCGATTAACGAATATTGTATAAGGAAAAGCAAGTCCAAACGTGTTTCTTCAGGACAAATCTTTGGAACTCTGATCATGATCCTTTCTCACTGCAGAGTAAATTTCAGAATACTGTACTTCAACCAGAAACAAATTGGCTGTACTTCAATAAAATATTGGCTTCATGCTCTTTATCATGGAGGTTACACTGAATCCAGAATGCCGCGTGTCTTCGCAAGATTACGAATTATCCTCTGCGGGATCGCCTTGTATCACTGTTATACACGGTTGCAAAATACAGAATGTTATCCATTTTACTGAAAATAATAGAGAAGCGCAGATGCAAGGTTCAACTCCGATAATCGAACGACAGTACACAGTATCTCATCACGAACTCCACGCCGCACCACACGACCCCGGTTGCCGCGCAACCGCTTCCGATCGGATGCGTTCGAACAATACATGAAGGACTCCATCTTGTGAACTGGCGGAAGTGCGCACAGTGATGACTAACGCAACTTCCAACAATCTAATAGAGCGAGAGTAATATCGAATTATCCTATGTGAGTACAAGAGTATTACGCACGGTACACTGTTGTTTTTTGAGTGGTTAACATGATTTGTTTTTTTTCAGGTTGTATGATGTGTATTCCGCGTGAACGAAGTTCTGTTGGGTGCCCATATTGCGCCTGTGTTGTTCGCCAACTCGTATAATTCTACGTCCGACATCTGGGGATGAGGCAATAAAGGGGGAAAGCTGAACGGAATCCGGGGAAAAACACAGCTGGGTCTCATTTCCATCTGACTCAGTGTTTTCCTGTAATTAGTGCAGTACTAGGGAGAGTTGGAACACTTGAACAGTCTCTTTATTGCAGGCGACAGTGCAGTATTTTTCCAGTGAAGCCTCTTGTTTGGCGCTTATATAGCCGATGGCCTTGGTTGTTTCCCCCACTCACACCGGCAGACTTGGTTTCGGCAAGTGCCCCGAGGGCATGCCCCAGAAGCACGGAAATACTGTATGTGAATATGCTTCTGTGCACTACGTTGGATACGTCTTCAGATGTTCGTTAATACTTAGAATTTTCGTTTTGTTCATCTTCGCGTGAGAAAGAACTCCGTTAGCTAGGGTGCTAAGGAATGGGATACTTTAAATTGCGGTGGGACAGAATTGAGTTTGTGACTTTCATTTCAATTGCTGCATTTACTTCCGGTGGTCTTGGAAGTTCTTCGGAAATGAAAAACTCGTGTATCTTTTTAGGTAGCGCCGCGCGCCGGGTTTTGTGAGAAATCCGGAGACTTGATTGTTTGAAAGGCTCAAACAATAGTTCTGCATAGTTCTGCAATGAAAGCACTTTTATTGAAGCTTAATTATGGTCTCGGAGACCTCTCCTATATGGAGTTGGAGAGGCACGAAGCAGTGGGTGGTGGTGGCACATGTAACCGGCGAGATATGCGGTCACAGAAAAAAGCCGTGTTCTACACCAAATTGTTCAATGAAGACCACGAATTTCAGTCGAAGGGTCGGCTGAATTGTATTCCCTTGCGTGAGTACCTTTGAAATATTTTGATTTTGTCTGGCTCCATGATAAAATCCCCTGGCCCGAAAATCCTGTGATGCCCATAATCCCGTAGGCCGAAAAATCTCGCGGAGTGGAGTCCAAAAATCCCGTAGGTACAAAAATCCGTATACAACAAAATTGTGACATTTCTCCTGAGGAAACTTGAGAAAAATGTAACCTTCATTTGGATCAAGACTTTGTCCTTGCATTTGTTTTGTATATAAACTGTTCACTTTTCCAATTATTTTCAGTTCTACTTTGCCCTCAAAACATGAACTTTTACATCAAAAAAACCTCCTTTGGTATGTACATATATGGTGATGGTCTGTAAATAATTTCTAAATCATCAAATAAGTCTAAATGCAGTTATACAGTACAGTATAAGTATATTTCATCTTGTAAAATTTCAATTTCAATGAACTTTCAATGTACAGCACATGATAGAGCATAATTTTTTTTAAATTCAAGGAGCCATTAACCTTATCAAGATTCCCACGCAAAGGCCACAGAAGAGTAAACGCAGTTGGAAGGAAAACTCAGAGATAATATCACAATTTTGTAGTACAGTATATGGGATTTTTGGACCCCTCGAGATTTTTCGGCCTGCGGGATTATCGGCCTCACGGGATTTTCGGGCCGCGGGATGTTTTCTCCTACAGGATTTTCACCTGCACCCCTTTCAGGATTGCTGTTGAAAAAAAAATATTTTCATGTAGATATGGTATGTTCATACAAAATTAATTTTGCTTCAAAGATAAATTGGGATGTGAAATTTGAAATATTCTCCTCACGCCGACATCATGGGGTTAAAATAAAAGAAAACTTCCCCACATTCGATGACCAATAACGACTTCTATTGAAAGTACCGTATAATCGTATTTTGTTCGAACTCAACTCAAGTCCAATTATGGTATCGAGTGTATGACTTGAATAAATTCTGCTATGGGATCGTCAACGGAATTATGAACGTTGGCAAAATTCTAACAAATCAGGGTCGGGGAACGTCCAATGCTGTGTTCCGCGAGTCTCCGTTTTTCATAGGTTTTGCTTTGAATACCGTAAGCCGTGGGTCGTTACCCTCGTACAGTACAAACTTGACCATTTCTGCGTTCCATTCAAGTGTTGAACCTCTTTTTCTTGAAGATGTCCACAAATTTGATGGTCGGACGAAACTGGCAGGATGTTCTTTGAAGCAACGTCGCTTGCGGAAGATATGCTCCATTGGAGAAGATCTCGAGCGTGATTTCCTGTTGGATATAAGTGGAACCCTTACCTCTGACAAGCTATTAGATCTGCAGATCAACGGCAAATCCGTTTATGACCAGGATTCAACCGAGTTCAAGCTGAAGCATGGAGATATCATCGAGGGCTTCTATTTTGTCTCACGTGAGTTCTTCCGTCATGCGGAAAAATACAGGGAATCTTGGTGCTTCTCGAGTCTTGTGCATTTTTGTAGGACTGTACTTGAATTAAACAGTGAAGTAAATATGGTGCAATCTTGCTATTCATGGCCCAATAAGCGAAAGGTATTTTTTGTTCTTGGGCGCCTTCAATTCAATACCGCTGTGTAATATTTGCAGATTTTACCTCGAATCAAGGCACAGAATGTTGGCCCAATCCTCACAGCACAGAGAATTCCAATAAAGTACAGTGTGTTTCCGCATGCGCCAATTTGAAACTTCTTGAACTGGAACTTGCGAATTTTTTTAAAAGCTAGCGAAAGACGAAATATGCACACTTTCTTGTCTTCCAGGGGGGGGGGGGAGAAATTTAAAAAGTTATGTACTGCCCAGGAGTTGTCAGGTCTACTTGAATGTCTTGATGGAAAATATTGTAGAGTACAGTGTTCACAATTCTCTGCTAAAATTTAACGGATTGTATCTGTATTAAGATCTTTTGGCAAGAGGCTGAAACAAATTGGATCAATTATAATGTAGTATAAAAGGCAAACGCGTTTCACGCAACAAAAATTTGGAGTAACAAAAAGCATCCAGGAACGGATTCGTTTTGTTACCCGAGGAAATCCGTTACTGGATGAAGAAATTAGGTTTCGGAATTCATGATGAATATACTGTAGCTGCAATTATTGTTGTCTAAGAGTCATAGGCCGAGAAAAATGGTTTCGCGTCTTCGCTCTTTGGCGTAAACCTCAGAAAAACCTGCAGCTGTGATTAACAAACTCCTCTGTCTTTGAATTGAATTTTCAGCTTTATAATCGTCATTTTTCTCGACTTATCACTGAAGATTATTGCCTACTGAACTGAAATTCTTTTTCAGCGTTTTTCAGGGTTATGTTTATCTTGGCTGATGGGAGCCCAGCGGAAGGGCTGCAGACTTCGCCGCTGCTGTCTCTTCCTCATTTAATCTTCAATCACATTTTATCGTTTCTGACTCCCTTGGAAACGATGAATAATGTCGTCCCGGTCTGTCGGACGTTTTTCGAGATGATGAGAAGTGGAGACGTTTGGACTAATCTGGAGTTCAGTTCGGATTTTGGCCAAACGTCCGTTCCATATAACTATATGGAAGACTTCAGAAAAGTTCTGGCAGGGTAAGTCTTCGCCTTCCTTGCGTGATTATCTGAGTAAGTTAATTGGAGTAAAGCTGGGACATTATCCCAAGAAAAAAAAGGCATAAAGATTTAAAAGCAATCAATCTGCGCTGCTGCTCAAATCCAGGTGCGAAATTATTGGTCGGTTTTTGTGAGTCTTGCGAGAGGTTAGAAAATGCCGTTGAACTTTCACAACTCAAACCTCTTCAATTGGAATACTGTAGCTCCGAGTGTCAAAATTTTTCCAAGTTACTCTCAGTCAGAACTCCCTAAGAAACAATACGCACTAAAAGCCTCCCTAACTGGAAGACTTTCCCCCGAAAACCTTCCTGAGTCCAAACATTTTCTGAGGCCATTTGTCTAGTATTTCTGTGACACAAGAGAAAAACAATCGGAATGTAACCTGATGCTCTTTGAAAAGACGTGAAAGATTAATTGGACGAATCAATCACTGCCTCGAAGTTCATCTTCCATTCAACTAATTCAAGAAGCGGTTCAAGGCCCAGAATTCCAACCTTATGTACTTTTTTTATTTTCTGTTATTTACGTACTGTATTTTGGAATGACTGTGACTTATTCAAGTATAATTTTGTGTCATTGGAAAATTCATTTAGGCGTGCCCGGAAGTTTGTGGTGAACTTCACAGTCCAAAGTTTTCACGAACCTATGGCGGTTGGAATTATGCGTCCACTATTATCCGAACCGGCGGAATGGAAGAATTTGAAGTGGCTGGAAATTCATTCCATGGATTGTGACGATCCTTTCTGGGTTGATTTTCTGCAAAACGAGAAATTATCGTCTCAGTTCGAGTCTCTCGTGATTCCATGCGGTCGAATGTTTGCATGGCAGGCGGGCATCATGGGAAGTGGATTCAATGCATCCAGCCAGGGAGAAATCATTTTCCCAAATTGTCTAGAAGTCGCCCTTCTGGATGTCTTTCCTGGAAATTTGATGAAGATCCGACCGAATCTCAGTTTGGTTTTTCCCAGGTCAGTAAGTTTTCATACCTGCAGTTGGTTGTCCAATGTGATTGCGGTATTATCGTACCGTAAAATCTCGTACTGTACAACGAAGTCATGAGCACCAGTAAACTAGCTTTATTGCAACTGAAAATTTACTCATTTTACGTGGTGGCCAAATTGAGCTGGGACCTAAAAACTGACTTCGTTGAAATAAATGGGCTCATTATTACGAGATTTGTTGTAATGAGATTCCACTTTGTATGATTTCAGACTGAAAAGATTGCATTTCATTGATCCTTCGGAATTCGGCGTCGTGACCAGGCATCGATGGGGGATCGATGATGATTCAAGTTCTGCTGACTTCCAAAGGTTCCTAGATATCCTTGGATCTGGGGTTCTCGTAACCCTTCACGCCAGGGAATTGCCAGTGACGTGGAATGAGGAGGATTGGGTCCTAGCTCAAGGAAAAGGCACTTTCACAAGTCTTGAGTCCCTCAGCTTGCCTGAAAATCCACTGGAGGAAATGTCAGACCTTGTGCAGATGAATATTCTTTTCCCAAAGGTATGGTCGTGATCATCTGATTTGTTTCGAAATGATTCGCGAAACCAAAGATAAAAGTGCTCGTGATGGTAACTATGGTTTATTTACGTTTAAACTTGATATAAAAGACGTCGGAATTTTCTAAGTTCAGAATATAGATGGTTTGCGACTGTACAAAAGGTCCTCGCATAACGAAACTAATCCGTTCCTGGGTGAGTTTCGTTTTGTAAAATTCTTGTCATTTGGAACGCATTTTCCTTCAAGAATATATTGATTTTAATTCACTCCAAACGTAAGTGAATAATGAACCATGCAATTTGTGCATTTTCCAGGAGAAAATTGTGAATTTAAATACAGTCCATGAAGAAATTGAATTAATTTTGCTTACAACTTACTGATTTATGACATTGTCAAATACAGGCGGGTGATGCATAAATACCATTTTCTTTTCTCATCTACTCCCGAGCATCAGAAAATTTCCAAGTTAGACGTAAAATTTATGCTCGTTTCGGCAGACGGATTTTTTGTTCGGATTTTGTGTTACTTTGTCAAACGAATGTTGTAATCTAAATGCATTTTCCATTTTCAAACTCTCGCAGCTTAAAACACTCTGGTTGACCCACGTGAAAACAATCAGATCCGTGAACCATTTGCTCGAGATGCCATCATTGGAGAAGTTGTGGCTCGAGTTCAACGCATTGGCTGTACCTGAAATGGAACCAGAGCTACTTCGAGTCTTTGATGCAAGTCCCGAGAAATGGCTCGCGAATCTCAAGTTCATCTCAGCTGATCTTTGGGAGACACACGTACCGTATTCCAAGATGAGCAACTTGGAATGTGTCGCACTCCTTTTCTACCACAAAGAAATCGTTACGAGGCCTCTGGAGACGGTGTATGAAGAGCTGAACAGTTGTCCCAAGCTCAAAGGATTGATTCTACGCGTGCATGACGATCTTCATTGTGAAGCCATCAAGAAACTGTCTCAACCATTGGAGTTTGCTGCAGTGTCAGGGATCAAATCTATGGTGGTATCAGCGCTGAAATGTCTCTCTCAGAGTCAAACCCGTCTTGAGGAAGTGTGGATTCGGGTGCTTGATGCTGACAAGACGACGCTAGATACGGAGATCACGATGAAAAAGGTGAGTTTCAGATCTTACTTTTTCTCCCTTGGTGAAGTTTTATTGATACAGTATTCTTGCCTAATTTAAATATTATGTCCGCAGTTTAATTGAAATCCTGTAAATAAAAAGTTTTTGCCCGCTGTGGAATCAAAAGAAGTTCAGTCGTAAATTGTGAGGTAAGAGACAATATATATATATATATATATGCATATTTTTTTTAGTAAAAATTGTTGAGGTGAAAGGCTGCGAAGAGATGGGTGTATTTTGGAACATACCAAGGTACCTTATCTTCTGCGCAGTATTCCTGTGAAGGAACAATTGAACCGCATTCCGTTTTGTTCGCAATTCAGATGAGGAAAATGTCTCATGCGAAAATGGTTAAATTTGCCGAAAATGGTTAAATTTGCCGTGGTATTTTTTTTTTTTTGAAATGCATAACTTCAGCGAGATTTTTTAAAGCTTCAAATCCTTTTGCAGGTATTTCATTCTACGGCAGTTTTTCACGTGGTCTTGTATATTTTCCTTCTTTGTCGGGATTCCCTGTGAAACTGCCTTTTGTTTTGTGGGTGTATTTTAAAGTTTTACAGTGTATAAAGGTACCTTATTATAGTACCTATTCTAAGTTTCTCCTAGGTTTTCATATTTTTGTAGATTTTTTCTAGTCCCGAGAAAAAAGCTTGTGGATATATACTGTTGGCAAGCATTTTAACAATTTTTGCGTGTATTTTTTTTGAATGTCTTTTTCAGGACATGGAAGAAATCCTAGAACTGTTGCTGACATTCAAACGCCTGAAGAACGTAGTGTTCATTCGCCGAAAATGTTACGAAGAGAGAGAGTTGGAATTTGAGGGATTAGAGAACAAAACTGCGGAGTTTGGGGAGATGCTGAAAACGCGTGTGCCTCAGGAAAGTTGCTTGAAACAAGCAACATTACTTCTTGACGTGGCACACGACAAGGAATCTTACACGTACAGTGTGGAGTTGCAGAGAGAGAAAGAATTCTCCTCTGTAGCCATTTCCAAGTTCTTCCCTGAATGGTTGAAGTACATTTGGAAGGACAGAAAGAATTGCTCGTTCTCTGCGATCGGGTTGCTTGCAGCTGTTTTCCCGTGGTATTAATTGAGAAAGATTCTTTTTGACTCCATGCTGGCCTCTTTTGTATGTTGTACACTATATAGCTGACTTGGCACGACGTCAGTATACAAGTGTATTGATCGATTCATTAATTTTTTTCTGAAATTCCCTGGAGAATTACGTCTGCTTGAGATTCTTACGAGAAATTGAGGCATTTTGTTTTGTACAGCATTAGTTATTATTTTTTTCTATTTTGGCTAATGCAGTTACAATAATTCGACTATTGACAAATCGTGCTGGTGTATGTGAATTGGTATTCTGTAATTTGTTCATTAGGAATGATGCATATTGTGAATAATGAAAAATTTGTACAGTCCTGAGACAGAAGAAATCTCTGGTGGTTGAATGTCTCTGTTGATATCTAGCCCTGGGTTGGTCAGGAGTCGTGAATCTGTAGATATTTTTCAAGTTATCATCTCAGGGTTTGTTCTGCTGCGTTTTTCTTTTATTCGGTTGCTATTGTAGCATTGTGCTTCAGCAGGAATGTGTCATTAGATTTTTTTTTTCGCGCATGACGCAAAGTTCGAGGCTTGAAGAAGAGTATGGTATCGTTATTTACGAAAATGAACTTTTTCCGCTGTCAAAGGTATAAAATGAGCTGTTCTGTTACTCTTTTGAAGTTTTTTCTTTCTATGGAAGGAAATGTTGACGTGAACTGTGTACAGCTGTTTTTACGATGTTCAATTGATGACTGCTGGGCGCGAAAAAAAAGAAAAAGGTTTTGAAGAGTGGAAATTTGAGTTTTTATTCTCTTAATTGCTTTAAAATTTATGAATTCTGAAATTGACATTTTCCTTATTTCTTCCAGAAGATTGAAGTTCCGCGAACAAAGCAGCTGTGATAATCCCCGAAACAAAACTTGAGCTTGAAAGCAGATAAAATGTTGCAAGCTTTATCTCAAGGTCTGAAGAATAGATTTGCCCCTTGATTGCATGAATGTGAGGTTTGAGCGGAAGTTTTGTTCTTTTTTAGTGGCAATTTCCCCATCATTTGCTGTTTTTTTTTCAGGTCGTCGGTGCGTGTTCAGATGTATTGTGTGACATTTTTTCATGACCAGTTGGTCCATTTCTGGATGGGATTTGGAGAAGCCTCATATCATTAGAGCAAAATTATGTGCAGAGAATGCTCAATTTTGGAAATGGCTTGAACCTTAATCAGAATGAAGAGATCTACAGTACAGGTACAGGTGGTACCTCTCAATTTGACCATCCCATCATTCATTGGTCAAATTTGCGGAGAGGTTGACTTTCAATTTGATCCTACCCCTGCTCTGCAATTTGACCTGCTTTGGCAACTTTTTTTGCAAATTTGTACTGATATTTTTGAATTTCATGAAGTGTAACAATTTGACCCCAGTTTGGCAATGGATTGGTGTCAAAATGCAAGGTACCACCTGCATAAGAAATACTTGAAGCAGTAGCTCTTCCTTTTTTTCTCTCACACCATGTTACAGGGGTTCTCTGCAATGAAATTCTTTCTACAACACATTCTTTTCCCTTAAACTTCTTTGCTTTCAACTCTATATTTTCTGGAACAAATGAACAGATGTGAAGTTTGAGGAAACAGAAAAAGCACTCAAAATGAGGTGTGACCCAAATTTGTGAATTTATTACCATGGAAATTCTTTTTGTGCCATTTACTATATGGGCAATGTAGGCTTTCATTTGGAAGGATATTGTGAGGTGAGATGCAATAACATATTATCTTTATTACTGTATTAGTAAAGCGACAACAGCATTTTTATGGCAAAAAATTCGTTTAATCAACATATTTCCGTCATGTGTTGACAAAAGAAACAAATATCATTGATTCAAGGTTTGGGTCAATTTGTTTGAATCCAAAGATGGCATGGATTTTTAAATAAGCTCCAAAATTCTTTGAAATGGACCTGAAATTCAATGAGATATAGGTGTCAAACTTTTCATGAATCCAATAGCAGAAGTTGTATAGATTTCAACAAATTCAGGAAAACAAACTGAAATCCTGAGAAATTTCTGACACTCATTAGCAACAGTGATTTTTTGTGTGGGCTAGAAACATAATCCTGAATTCCTCTCAAGATGGGCAAAAATTCGCCTAAAAAACAATCTTCTATCCATTCATAAATCTCTTCTCAAATCTATGAATCCCCTTCTTGGTTACTAAGTGCAGTACAGTAGTTGTCCCCAACAAGGCAGGATAATTCACCCTCAGAATGTGCATTCTTCACTTTTGGGAGAAAAAAGAAAACGTTTCCAGCCAAAAGATATTAAAAAAAAAAATAGAATCAAAACCACATCCAGCCTTTCTTCAGCTTCTTAAACTTCTCCTTTTTGGGCACATAGTAGTGATGGACCGTGGCCGAGGGCCTGGAGGCCAGGGACAGCTTGACAGGGATGTTGAATGTGGGTTGCGGTGGGGAAGCCTGTTGGACAGGGAAGGGCACTGCAACTGCAACAAACTGCACTTGGGGGTTCTGCTGCTGTGTGGGCATGGAGTCATCGCTGCTGGGAGGGGCTGCTCCAGGGGGCGCCACTGATGGCATGCTGGGTCTCATCACTGTTTGTGGCACCCGGTAGTCTCTTCTCGGTTGCTGGTACACCTGCTTACTTCCTCTCCCCGATGGCGAATCTTCTGAAAAATTTGAAATATAAAATTCAGATGTTACACTGCCAAAGTGGGGAAATTGGTGCACGCTGGGGATTTGTTTGTAATTCTACACAGTGACCCTGCTGTGCACCTGAAGTGTACCAAAGTTCTTTTGTTGCACATGCATTTCCCCAATGTGCACCAATCATGTGTTCACACCAGGATTACTCCGGGACACATTTGTAAACAAATAAGTTACACCAAGGTTACAGTTGGTGCATTTGTATGATGCTCCTGTTATTTCACATTTGTGCACCAAGTTTAACCCTGGAATGGTAGCAAAATTTCCACTACAGGAGTCCACACTTGTAATCCCAGAATATCCCATATGCACCAGTTGTGACCCTGGTGTGGGGTCACAGCAAAAATAGCTCCCCACTCTGGCAATTCTCATTTGAGCAAAAATTTAATAATATGCACACTTTGGGCCTCCAAATTCCAACAGGAGAAAATTTCTCTTTGGGGAATATCACACTGCTAAAATAGGGTCTCCTCAACAATTTGTTTCACATTATTCACTATTTATTCAAGTAAAGTACAGTACTTTAACTTTTGTGAATGCAGGAATGTTGGGATTCTTGAAGACATTTCGAATACAAGTGAGGAAAGAAAATGTTGAAATTAATTTATTTAGAATAGAGCACATTTGAAATGGACACAATATTTCAAGTAAAAATGTTCGCATACTAAAATTCACCTGCAATGTCATGTTGAATATGAAAGAAATAATGCACGTCATCTCCATCGTTATCTGACGCTCTTCCGTCGGCAGAGCGCTTTTTCCGCTGCGCAAGAGTGACATCTGTCTTCTGGACATTGGTGTCGCTTCTGGAAACGACTGGTAATCTCCCGGAAAATGCTGAGAAGGGTAATGCAGTAATTCCATTAGTCACGAAAACTGAATGGCATGAAACCATGTGAACTTCACCTTTTTCTGGAATGCCCAAATCTCCTTTTTTAGGGTTTCTTGTAGCGACATCTGAGTGCGAAACTCGCTTCGCGTTTTCTCGTTGGTCAGTGGAACGCTTGTTTCTCCTTGACGGTCTCACGACACCGTCCGATCCAATGTTGAGGAATATCTCTTTCGGTTTGGAGCCCGAAGTGTAGATGTCACCCGCTCCTCTGCTGTTTCTTGAAATCACTGCATCCATGTTTGCGGGGCATCAAGATTAATCATGTAAAGATGGGGTAAAATATTGTACTAGAACTCACAAAATTGCAACTGAATTTTGTATGCTAGTTATCAGTGAAACAAGGGTTTAAAAATCTGAAAAAAGTGCAAGGACTGCACGCATTTACTATACAACGAGGCTGGAACCAGCATGGATGATGTCATGTTCAAAATTACAAGAATTTCAAGATTGTTTCAGTTGACTGGTACAAACATAAATGTGTGTTAGATTGAGGTTCCCCAACCTGTGGTCTGCAGACATTTTTTGCCAGTCTGTGGTAAAGTTTATACTGCAGAGTAAATTTATCAGAAGTAGCAATGAAGTCTGTTATCTTTATCTGAAATTTCAGAAAGACATTGGCAGTAGAAATTATCTGATGAAGAAATAAAATTGGATTTTCTCCTAAGGCTTTGGACAAATTTTCACCTGCTTAAATAAATTCTTTTAATATTTTCATTCTGAGAAATCTTTGTTCAAGCCCACCTTTCTAATTTGTTGATGATATTCCACTATTTTTTGGTTCTTAATTTTTGAAAAAAGCAGAAACTTTTCAAATGCCTGCCATGCCTTAAAGAAAAACTTTTGAGTCTGTAACAATTTTGTGGAACTTTGTTGTTCTGCAGACAATTGTTGAAAAATTTTGCTGGTTTGCAAAAAATGGTATAGAAATTTGCCAGTCTGCAGGCCAAGTGAGATTGGGGAACACAGTGTCAGATGATTGTCTTACATGTTGTTGGTCTTCCATAGGTTGGCCTGGACCCATAGGTATCTGATTGGTCCCCTGGGATTCTGATGGTGTAGCTCAAAGACCTTCCTTTGTTTTCTTCATCCCTGGGCTTTATGTAGCTCTGCTGTGGTTCATCATGGTATGATGAACCCTTCAACACTTTGACCCCAACCCCAGAGGAATCACTGTCATAATGACCATAGCCTCCTTTCTTGTTTGGTGAGACCACAACCACCACTGGCTGAGTAGGTGGTGGCACTGGTGCAGGCAATGCAGCAGGTGGTGACTGTTGGATAGGCTGCTGTACTGGGATGTTGATTGGTAGAAGGTACTGTGCACCTACTGCACCAACTGTCAGAATAGAACAAAAGAATCAGACCTAGCAAACCGACGGATGAGCCACATGCACATGGTAACTCAATTAAAAGGATATATCTTTTATTTGATTTGTGCTTATGTCAAAGGCAATGTACAGTCAAACTTGAATAAGACCTCTAGGTTTGTGCAGCACAATTTTTGCTGGTTGAGAGGGGTTGAGTTTATTTAAATGTGGTGCACAAACAAAAAGGGATCCCTGCCATTGCTGTGTTGAACAAACTTTATCATTTTCACAAATAAATTCCTGAAGGTAAATCCTGCAGATCAAGGATTACCAATACCAATGTATTCAGTTCATGAGACAAATAGTTGCTGAACAGTCTTTTAGACCAAGACAGGAATATTTTAAATTTGGCAGTTCATCAAGAAAACACAAATGGTAAAAATAGTGTTTGGACAGAAAAAAAACATTAGCAGAAGGGACATTCAAATATTTTCTGTGCTGTTTAAGGTTAGGTACATTTATTTAGGAATAAATGTTGTCTGTTCATCAGAGTGGTTCTTTAATGAGGACATCTCAAAAGGACTCAACTGAACAACTACTGTTACTTAGTCTGCTGCAAAATGTTTACCAGTTATGGTGATTTTACCAATTAAATCTCATTGCAACAAACTTGTAGAGACTTCAGAAAAGTGTGTCATAACACATATTTTTACAATAAGATTTTCAAAATTATTAACTGATGATGAGATTAAAAAAAATTAAACATGCATATATTCAACATCTTTCTGAAGTGGTCTTCTTGGATTTTTTTCAGTGTTTCAAAAATTTTGATCATGAAAAATGCAAATATTAATAACAAACATTTACTCTGAATAAGAGCCGTTTTTGTGCACTTATAAGTTTTTCTAAGCAATTCCTGCACAAATTTGCAAGGGTGTGAATGTTCCAAAAATGCTTACAGCTTTTTTTTTTTTTTTTTTTTAGCACCAAAGGGTTTCTCAAGCATGCAAAGCCCCTTTTTACATGAGTTTTGCTGGATTCATTTTTTCAATCTAACCCCCTCTCCCTCATTTTTCCTAACCCAGGAACAATTTTGGAAGAAAGGATGTTCAGGGAAGTTTTGAAGAATTTTTCCTTGATTCCATTGTCCATTTATGGCCAGAAACTAGTCACTGTTGCATTTTGACTGAGAAATTTGAGCCTGTGCCTGATGCTTTCATTAGAGATTTTTGATTGGGAAAATCACACCATGCTCCACAGAAAAGTTTGTCTTACTGGAATTTGATAGTTTGTTGTGACAAGATTTTTATAATATTGACCCTATAGGATTTCTGCTGGGGCTTGCAAACATTTTTTATACTGAAAAATTTTGTTTTGAAAGTATTTGTCATAATGAGATTTAACTGCATTGCAGTCTCTCTTCTGGATACCTGGCATTGAAACTTAGTCTGCTCTGCTATGTTTTGAAAATTGACTGTGGATTCTTCCTTCAAAGAGATCAGCCTAGATTTTGTCAAAATTTCTGAAGATCATTGCAATGTCTTTCTCCCAAATTTGAATGCAAGCACAATTTCTTACCACCTGGGAAGAATCCCTGCTGAGGCTGTGCAATCATTTGGAAAACTTGTGGAGGAGCTGGTGGTGCAGCAGTAGTGGTTGATGGCACATCTGCCAAAGGCGATGGTGGTGCTGGTGCCATATCTCCAACAGTATCCCTCTGAGGTCCAATCCCTCCTTCACCACCACCACCTCCAACAGGCAGATGTTGATTCAGTGTGATATGAATCACTGGTCCCTGTGGACTGTTGCTGGCAATGACTGCAGGTGTCCTCTGGTAGTAATCCTCTGCATTCTCTTCATAGTTATCACTTGGCTTGTTATAAGATGTAGATGGTGGTGGTTTCTCATAACTGCTTGCTGGGTTTGGAGGGTACACATCATAGGACCTGTCTGCTGGCTGCAGTTCTTCATGGTGGGGCAGCTGGGGCTGAGGGTAGTAGGTGTTGAAGTCTGGGGCAGAATCATCTGCATAGGATGCTGATGGTGCAGACACCAACTGGTCTCTGTCTGAGGTGGACAGTCTCAGCACTATGTCTCTATTGGCAGCTGGTTGGTCATCTGGCTCATCCCTGTGCATAGTTATGAAAGATGTTGATTGAAACAGTCAAAATGCTGCTACAACACCCTCTTCTCAGTGACTTGAAAAAATTCTACACTCTCTCTTTTGTTGAGATTATCTAAAAAAAATTTGCATTACAGTCTGAATTTTGATGTGAATGTACAACTATTAAAAAGTTGATTTCATGTATTTTTCAAAATTGCTAGGATTTCTGGACTTAAATGATGTACCGTACAGTATTTATGTTTACCTGTTTTCTTTTTTCAACACTGACAGAAAAATGATCAGAAAACATGTAATGATGTAAATTGACATATACACCTGAGTGGGGAGCTATTTTTGCTGTGACCCCACAGTAAGTGCACACCTGGGTCACAACTGGTGCATATGGGATATTCTGGGGTTACAAGTGTGCACTCCTGTAGAGGAAATTTTGCTGCCATTCCAGGGTTACACTTTGTCCACAAATGTGAAATAACAGGAGCATCACACAAATGCACCAACATAGGTTACACCAAGTTACCTTGGTGTAACTTATTTGTTCACAAATGTGACCCTGAGTAATCCTGGTGTGAACACAGAATTGGTACACATTAGGGATATGCGTGTGCAACAGAAGAACTTTGGTATACACTTCAGGTTCACAGCAGGGTCACTGTGTAGAATTATGAACAAATCCCCAGTGTGCACCAATTTCCCCACTTGGGGAGACCCCAAATTGCACTATGTCCTTGGGGAGACCCCAAAATGTGGATGTAATTGGTGCTTGAACACAGTCCCTATGTCAGAATATGTCCACATGTTGGACCTTGTAAAAAAGTTAGAACAAAATTGACCTGTTTTTTATAAATTCAAGTAAATATATATATAATGATATTCAGTTTTAAATTCTGTGCTTATAAATATCTCAATTTGTTCAAGAGATATCAAAATTCAAATTTTCAAATTTTTGAGAAATGCTGAAAAAGTGTCCATAGATATTGTCCTGACGTTGGGTCCAATTTTTTTGAATTTTCAAGTGTCCCCAAGTCAAATCGTCTGTATGTCAGGGTGTCCGCAACTCAGGGTCTCACTGTATTGTAATTCCAAATGACAGTACCTCAGCCTACTGGTGTCCCTGTCTTCGAATTCCTGTCTTCTTCTGTTGTCTCTGGAAGGTTTATCTTGACGTTGTTGTTCTTGTCGCTGTTTTTGTTCTTGTTGTTGCTGTTTGCTGTTGATTCTTCGAGCAGCTGCCAACCTTTCCTCCAATCTAATCCTTTCTTCCAGTTCTCTCAGAGTTGCTGCGACTCTCCTGCGTTTTTCTATTTCCCTGCGTCCAGAAATTATATAGCTACTATTACGAAAGGCAAACACACATTTTTGATGTGTTGCAATAACTCACTCGCTGTCAAAGTCAACCCTATTGTTTTGATCCTTTTGCTGTTGGTTCTTCTGGCGAGAATCTCGTCCGAAGGTTATGATGTCGAAATTCTGCGGAGCAGGCACCGTCGTTCTCTCAGCAGGTTCCCTGTAGGTATATAGGTTTTTCGTACAAAGCAGGAAGGTTCATAAATTTATGGTTTTTAGATTCTTGATTAGCCAAGGTTAGTTTCAGCCGAATGTGAACTTGGCTCACGTATTCAAAGGTAGCATGTCGATATTGATTGCTTCCAGGGCATACAAAGGGTTCCGCTTTCTGAAGCTTCATATTTTTTTTTAGGAGAAGGGGGAATGGATTCATGAACAGTTTGCGCCTTTTCACATTGAGTTTTTGCATGAAAATGAACCGATGAAACTTACTTGAATCGCGCAGGGGCGGTTTCGTCGATAATCCTTGAAACAGGAGCATCCCTGTCAAACTCGGTGACGAAAGGAAATGTTTTCGTCGTGATGACGGAACTGCCCGCGAGATCGAAGAGGGAGTCGGAATTGCGTTGATGCGACACCTGGGATAAAATGTTCTGCTCAGAGCTTCTGACGGGGCCGGTAGATGTCGAGTCGCCGAAACGTTGCTTTCTTTCCATTTTCGCTGCTTCAGTGTCGAATAAGGATTGTTGGCACGTGGAGGGGAAATGGGTTACAGACAAACAAAGTATCACCATTGAGAAGAAGGCTTTTGGCGACATTTTTGTGCTGTATTTTCTCTGAAATGAACAAATCATTGGTTATTTGAATGAAGTCTGAGGCAGAATAAAAAACCATGAATTCGACACAATATTGATTCAAGTGTTGGGAAATGTGTTGAATGAATGGGATATTATACCAGTAAAAATTTCAATTGAAACCTTGCTTTTAGTGGAATGTGATGACAATTTTCATAAACCATCAATGGATAATTTTATATAAAGGTGGGGTGTTCTCATGCTCTACTTCATTCATTAGAAAAATGTGCAAAAATCCTGTTTGGGTGATACAATATCATAGACTGCTGAGAATTCTGAAGAAACTGTAAAGAAGATTTTAGAAATTTGCTTTTAAAAAACTGCAGTTCCAGGACTGTATCATGTCTAAAAAATTGTATGTAAACCTGAAAATAGATTTTAACCTTATTATCTAGTCCATGGACCAAACATTTATTGGTGTGAAGGGGAAAAAAACAATCAGACAATAAATCTCTTTGTACAAAACCCTTTGATTGTGGAACCCCTTTTTAAGTTGTTTTTAAACCCAAATAACCAGTGATAGAACATACTACAATGAAGCAGTGTTCAAGTACCTGGAATGACCCAGATAAAAAAGATGAAACCATTTTGGATTATGATGACACTTGACAGAAGAGATGCTGCACTGAACACATAAAAAACTGAGGAGAAAGGTGGTTGAAACATAAAACCCCTGCTTATAGCCCACATTTTTATGTGAGAAACTGGATCTGCTTCTGAGAAAAGTGAATGAAGACACTTGTTGAATTTAATAGGGATTAAATATAACTTGCATTATAATTTCCAAGCAAAGCATTTGGCTCATGTTGACTAGAAATTTACAAGTGGGAAAGCCAGGATGAGACATAATTTACAATGCAGGTAATATATTATCAGAAAAAATATTTTGGGACCCAAACATAATTTTCATGATGACAATACATAGCTGAATTTATAATGCTTCAGTCCATCTTCTTTTTCAGAGACATTCATGTTTTCAATTTTGTCAGTGAAATTATAATCATTGCACAAAAGGAATTTCTCTATCTTTTATAATTAGGATAGAAGCAATGTTCAGTTTTTTTCATTATTTTTTTTATAAATACGGCCGAATTTGTTATTCAACTGAGGCGCCACTATACCTGGCCCTGATTACCACGTTCATTTTTGAAAACTGAATACACCACAGCACTGTTGCCCAACGTAAGGCCCGCGGGCCGGATCCGGCTCCAGAGAGTCCCTTTCAAATATTTGTGAAGTTCAAAATACTGTACATTTCACCATTATTTAAAGTATATATTGAAAGATGCATTTTGAAAATCCAAATATTCCTCCACCCTTTAAAAATGCTGAAAGGCTACACTTTTGATTCTTTACAGAAGTTTTAAATTTTTCATTTAAAAGGGAAAATGGGGAACCTGAAAAATTGACTATTGTGGCCCACAATAAGGGCTCTTCACCACTGCAATGCAGCCCTTATTGGCCACAAGAAAAAATTATATACTGTATATATATGTATATTATGTATACAGTAAGACCCCCACATGAAGACACCTCAACATCTGGACAATTTGACATAGGGACATTTATTTTTCCATAAAAAAACGCCCAAAAAGGCCTGACATGCAAACACTGACTTGACATGGGGACATTGCATGATAAAATTGCCATTACAATTCAGGAAAAAAGACTTTTATCAGGCTGAATTGCAAGAAACATATATTTCAAAACAAAAGATATATGTAAGAAAATTCTTTGGTATTTTGCCTATCATTTTCCCATCCATTAAGCTAATTTAAAAAAATTAACGTTAGTTTTATAGAGGGACTTCCTTCTCTCTTTGTGACTTGAATGTTATTCTTACAGATGCCAACATTTCAATGTACTGTACAGAAGCATACATCATTCAACGCTCTAAATGATCTTATTCATTTGAAAGATATTCACCAAATCAATTGTAATTGGCAGAAAATTTTTTTTTCATGTAATACTGATGAATATTTTTTTTTCATAAAACACCAATTAAAAATTACACAATCTGATTCTACAGGAAAATGAGACTCAACTTAGGGACATTTTGACTTATGGACACCCTTGATGCACCAATTACATCTGCATCTTGGGGTCTCACTTGTTTGAGCCAAGGGACATATTAATATACATATACGTACTGTATTTACTCAAGTACCAGGCACACCTTTTTTCTCAAATTTCAGAAGAAAATAAGGAGTGCGCTTCATAAGCGGGTACAAATTTTTCAAGAAGTTTTAGGAAGTTATGTGCGCTTTATACTTAATTATAATGGAGAAATTTTGAACAAATGTAACAAGAACATTTTTTTGTACTGAAACAGTTAAAAATTGATCAGATTCTTGTTCAATTCATGTCTAAATTCAAATTTAAAAAAAACGTTATTGGTTTTAGGTTCACTAAAAATTGGCATGCGCGTCTTACTCAGGTATAAGATTTTAGCAAAGTTTTCAACTGAAAAACCCCTGTGCAAGCCTTACTAAAGGGTTTGTGGTACTTGAGTAAATATGGTATACTGTACATATATATATTAATATGGCCCTTGATCATGTCTGAATTGGGCATCACTGCACTGGATCCAGCAACATTTTGCCAAACAATATCACTTTCCCCCCNTTTTAGAAATTTGCTTTTTAAAAAACTGCAGTTCCAGGACTGTATCATGTCTAAAAAATTGTATGTAAACCTGAAAATAGATTTTAACCTTATTATCTAGTCCATGGACCAAACATTTATTGGTGTGAAGGGGAAAAAAACAATCAGACAATAAATCTCTTTGTACAAAACCCTTTGATTGTGGAACCCCTTTTTAAGTTGTTTTTAAACCCAAATAACCATCAGTGATAGAACATACTACAATGAAGCAGTGTTCAAGTACCTGGAATGACCCAGATAAAAAAGATGAAACCATTTTGGATTATGATGACACTTGACAGAAGAGATGCTGCACTGAACACATAAGAAACTGAAGAGAAAGGTGGTTGAAACATAAAACCCCTGCTTATAGCCCACATTTTTATGTGAGAAAGTGGATCTGCTTCTGAGAAAAGTGAATGAAGACACTTGTTCAATTTAATAGGGATTGAATATAACTTGCAATATAATTTCCAAGCAAAGCATTTGGCTCATGTTGACTAGAAATTTACAAGTGGGAAAGCCAGGATGAGACATAATTTACAATGCAGGTAAGATATTATCAGAAAAAATATTTTGGGACCCAAACATAATTTTCATGATGACAATACATAGCTGAATTTATAATGCTTCAGTCCATCTTCTTTTTCAGAGACATTCATGTTTTCAATTTTGTCAGTGAAATTATAATCATTGCACAAAAGGAATTTCTCTATCTTTTATAATTAGGATAGAAGCAATGTTCAGTTTTTTTCATTATTTTTTTTATAAATACGGCCAAGACATTCATGTTTTCAATTTTGTCAGTGAAATTATAATCATTGCACAAAAGGAATTTCTCTATCTTTTATAATTAGGATAGAAGCAATGTTCAGTTTTTTTCATTATTTTTTTTATAAATACGGCCGAATTTGTTATTCAACTGAGGCGCCACTATACCTGGCCCTGATTACCACGTTCATTTTTGAAAACTGAATACACCACAGCACTGCTGCCCAATGTGAGGCCCGCGGGCCGGATCCGGCCCTCAGAGAGTCCCTTTCAAATATTTGTGAAGTTCAAAATACTGTACATTTAACCATTATTTGAAATATATATTGAAAGATGCATTTTTAAAATCCAAATATTCCTCCAACCTTTAAAAATGCTGAAAGGCTACACTTTTGATTCAGTACAAAAGTTTTAAATTTTTCATTTAAAAGGGAAAATGTGGAACCTGGAAAATTGACTATTGTGGCCCACAATAAGGGCTCTTCACCACTGCAATGCAGCCCTTGTTGGCCACAAGAAAAAAATTATATACTGTATATATATGTATATTATGTATACAGTAAGACCCCCACATGAAGACACCTCAACATCTGGACAATTTGACATAGGAACATTTATTTTTCCATAAAAAAAATGCCCAAAAAGGCCTGACATGCAAACACTGACTTAACATGGGGACATTGTATGATAAAATTGCCATTAAAATTCAGGAAAAAAGACTTTTATCAGGCTGAATTGCAAGAAACATATATTTCCAAACAAAAGATCTATGTAAGAAAATTCTTTGGTATTTTGCCCATCATTTTCCCATCCTATAAGCTAATTTTAAAAAAGTATCTTTATAGAGGGACTTCCTTCTCTCTTTGTGACTTGAATGTTATTCTTACAGATGCCAACATTTCAATGTACTGTACAGAAGCATACAGCATTCAACGCTCTAAATGTTCTTATTCATTTGAAAGATATTCACCAAATCAATTGTAATTGGCAGACAATTTTTTTTTTCATGTAATACTGATGAATATTTTTTTTCATAAAACACCAATTAAAAATTACACAATCTGATTCTACAGGAAAATGAGACTCAACTTAGGGACATTTTGACTTATGGACACCCTTGATGCACCAATTACATCTGCATCTTGGGGTCTCACTTGTTTGAGCCAAGGGACATATTAATATACATATACTGTATTTACTTGAGCACCAGGCGCACACTTTTTCTCAAATTTCAGAAGAAAATAAGGGGTGCGCTTCATAAGTGGGTACACATTTTTCAAGAAGTTTTAGGAAGTTATGTGCGCTTTATACTTAATTATAATGGAGAAATTTTGAACAAATGTAACAAGAACATTTTTTTGTACTGAAACAGTTAAAAATTGATCAGATTCTTGTTCAATTCATGTCTAAATTCAATTTTTTTAAAAACGTTATTGGTTTTAGGTTCACTAAAAATTGGCGTGCACGTCTTACTCAGGTATAAGATTTTAGCAAAATTTCCAACTGAAAAACCCCTGTGCAAGCCTTACTAAAGGGTTTGTGGTACTTGAGTAAATATGGTATACTGTACATATATATATTAATATGG